GGAACAACAGAAAATCTCATTTATTCCTGATGGGAATACAAAATGGTACACTCACTTTGAAATACAGTCTGATGGTTTCTTATAAAGCGAAACTACTCTTACTGTACAATCTGTCATTCACACTTCTTGGTATTTATCCAAATGACTTGAAACCATATTCACACAAAACTTGCACATGGATGTTTATAGCAGCTTTATTATTAATAATTGCCAAAACTTGGAAGCAACAAGTTGTCCTTCGGTAGGTTAATAGATAAACTGTGGCACATCCAGACAATGGACTATTATTCACCCCACCAAGAAAGGGAGCCATTAAGTCATAAAAAGACATAAGGAAACCATTAAATGCTAAGTGGAGGGAACTAGTCTGAAAAGGCTACATACTGTATGATTCCACTGTGTGGAAAAGGTAAAACTTCTAAAAAAGGTAAAACTATAGAAACAGTAAAAAGATCATGGTTGCCAGGGACTGGAGAGAGGGTTGAATAGGTAACACAGAGAAGAATTTTAGGGAAATGAAATTTCTCTGTATGATACTATCATGATGAATACACATCAATATATATCTGTCCAGACCCATAGTATCTACAACACCAAGAGTGGACTCTCATGTAAACTCTAAACCCTGGTTAATAATTTATCAATATAAGTCATCATTTAACACGTATACTACTCTGGTGAGGAATGGCGTGTGTGTAGGGAGAAGGAGCACATGGGAAGTCTCTACACCTTCCTCTTAATTTCTTAGAAACCTAAAACTGCTTTAAAGAGATAAAGTCACAACAATAACAACAACAACAACAAAAACCTAAGATACTCTCAGAGAGATAAATGCGACTAATGATAAAAAGAAACAGTAACAAGAATTCATGAAGAAGAACTCTTAGAAGATAATGGACGTAAAACCTGTATTTATCACCATAATTCAGTGGATAAATTGAATCACAGAATTAATACAGCTGAAATGTGATGCAGCAAATGGGAATATCTTGTTAGGGGACTCTCCTGGAAGACGAGAGAAAAACAGAAAGACTTGGAAAAATGAGAGAAAAGTTAAAAGATATGGAGAGTGAAATTAATGTGTCAGTATCTGCCTTAAAAAGCCACAGATGAAGAAAAAGTAGATGAAAGGAGAGAAATAATGCCTTAACATTTCTGTATATCACAAAAAGGTTTAAGAGCTTATTGAAAGGGCTCATTAAGAGTCACCAAGCAAACCCAAATGTAAGCATATGGTAGTGAGACATTGGAGGAAGCACCTGTGGAAGACAATTTGGTGGGCTAAACATATCTTTTCCTCCCTCTTGTTGACAGTAAATTATATACATTATAGAATTTGGCAAAGCAAATACTCATTTTACTAACTTCTCTTGCAGCTAGAGGGGGAAATACAAGGGACCCCTAGCTAATGGGATATAAGCATATTCCTGCTGTGGAGCTTCTTGGAAAGTTTCAACCATAAAATGGTAAAAGGGGAAGAATCGAATGTGGAAGTGATGGCAAGAGGCATGGAAGCCACTTTTCAGCAAAGAGGAAGCAAAAAGAGAATAGCATAAATGTTGACCCTGGTATTGTTAAACTGATAAGCTATTGCCAACAGCCTCTTAATCAAGGCATCTTTTTAGATGAGAAAAATAAATGGAAGTCATTATTAATTGGTTTTATGGTACCTCCATGCAGACCATTTTAAACTAACATGGTAATCCAGCAAGAAAAGAGGTGAAGACAGAAGGTAGGAACATATAATTTGGTAAGGTTTATTTTCTAAATAAGAAATGACTACTACACAAATAAAGAACAATCCACACATAAAATTACTGAATGGTACTAACCTGAGAGGGATGAATGGTGGGAGGGAGAAGGAAAATATCAGAGGCAAATTGAAATGAGAAAAAATAAAAGAGTAAGTAGTAAATATAAAATAAAATGCAGATATATGTATGTAGATATTAGTGTTATAATAAATGTTTAACTCAAGATTATCTCAAAAATTAAGAGAGAACTCTGAGTATGATTAAAAACAGCAATGTTTATCTAAAAGTGATATTTAAAACAATGGAATATAAGTAGAGTAATAATGAAAACATGGCTTAAGATATAGTAGGTAAATGCAACCTTTTCCCCCAAACAATCAGATTAATGGTTCTAATATCGAATTTAAGGGGAAAAAATATAAAGGGCAATGACAGCACTTGTAATAGAAATAGTATGCATAATAATCATGAACATTTACATACCTAATACCGTGTAATAACCATAGAACAGATAACAGTAGATAAAGAGTAGCTCTATGGGGAAAAATAGATAAATCAACAGTTCTAATTGGGGAATTTAACCCATAAACCTCAGAAACTATTAAATCAAGTAGATCAAAAATATACATAATTATTGAGCTTAAATGAACAGGTACATAGAAGTTTTTAGACTCAAACGGAATATAGACATTCTTTTTACGAACAAGAACAGTTACACCAGTGGACCAGATACTGGCCACAAAGGAAGGCCTCTGTATAATCTAATTCTTTAGTACCATGTAGACTTATATTAAAATGCAATACAATTAGAAATAAATCCAAGAAAAAACTGAAACCATCCCATATGGCTAAATACTAAGTAGCATTTTGCTAATTGGCTTTTATTTAAAAATCATTAGAGAAATTACAGAATTCTTAGAGCTAATGTACATACTATTTGACTATAGGCCAATATTTGCAGGATGAATCTCCAGTTTTACTTTAAGAGATGTGTATAGATTTAAACACAGCACAAAACAAGCAGAACAAAAAATAAATAGGATTAATATTCAAATCATGAAGGTATAAAAAAGTTCATCAGAGTAAAGCCAAATATATAAGGACAGAAATAATAATTACATAGGTACAAATTTTAAAAATAGAGAAAACACAAATCCAGTAAAGAGACTTAACCAAAAACTCAGTTCTTTGAATATAAGATATGCAGCTTCTAGCACACCTGATCAAGAGAAAAAAACAGAAGATGTAAATACTACAAATGCGTATAGAAAGAGGATTTAGCACAGGTTTAGCGAAGAGTAACAATCATAAGGTTATAATCACTAACTTTCCCTTAAATAGCTTGAAAATCTTGAGGGATTTATTTGTGAAAGCATACCTTTTGCATGAAAATAATGACAATACTTGAATATTCTAACTACTACTAAAGAAAATTTAAATGTTTGCTAAAAACCTGCTTCCTCATTTATCTTCTTTTCCACAAAAAGATAATGGATCAGCAGCTTAAAAGGGAACACTGTGAAATTTTCAAGACACAGAAACTTCCTATCATAAATAAATTAATCCAAAGCACAAAGTAGAAAAGGAAAACTGGACAACTCATGGTGAAACTGGTATAAGTTTTGACCTCTTTTCCTACTGCCTCTAGGTAGGGCCCACCTTCCTGAGTCATAAAAAAAAAGGCAGAGGGAACAGCCTAAGCTTCAGGTTGTCTGGATTTCTTGCATCACAACTCGCTTCACAGACTGACTCTTTTTTCTTTTCCATGCAGGGAGGCCAATTAGTTGGTGGAACAGCCAAGGCAACACTATGCAATTACCTGGTTAATATCTTTCACTGACTGATTAGGAGGGATCAACTATCATGTAGGATAATACTTAAGGTGCTTTAAAATATGTCAGGTAATATTTAAATTTTTATATAAAATTTAAAATAAAACTGTTTTCGTTATTCTCTCTTTTTTTTCTATCAAGTTTTTCTTTAAGAACCTGCTTTGAAATGCTCCAACAACCTTGGGAACATATTAGGCCAATACTTCCAAGTCTTCCTATTATCAGGTCACTGTAACATGGGAATAAGTTAGGGAGCCCAGGCTCCCTTTGTGCCTGAGCAGTCCTTTCTTTGAGATACATTTTATAATAGTTTTCTTTCAAGAGTGTAAAGCATTGTATTATTTATAATTATTGTTATTTAAATTGAAATTGTATAAAAGCTAGATTTTCTCTCTCTTTTTTGTAGTAAGAGTTGCCATGTTAAGCTAACCTGTTCTTCACCGTCCTCTAATTTGATTCTGCTTCTCAGAAAAGCCTTTTTAGGCAGATTTTTTTTTTATATCTGTCTACCTGTTTTAAAACAGCAATGAGACAATAGTTATATTTTACTTCATCCTTCACTAACCCTGGTCTTTAAACCAGAAAATGTAGTTCAAGTATACAGAAATATAGGCTGATTTCACATGTAAGCAAAAAATGTGAGAATTTTTTTTTTTTTTTTTTTTAAGGGCAGAGGCTCACTGTGTCACCCAGGCTGGAGTACAATGGCGCTATCTTGGCTCACTGCAACCTCCACCTCCCGGGCTCAAGTGATTCTCCTGCCTCAGCCTCCTAAGTAGCTTGGATTACAGGCACCCGCCACCATGCCTGGCTAATTTTTGTATTTTTAGTAGAGATGGGGTTTCACTATGTTACCCAGGCTGGTCTTAAACACCTGACCTCATGATCTGCCTGCCTCAGCCTCCCAAAATGCTGGGATACAGGCGTGAGCCACCACACCTGGCTGTGAGAATTTTTTAAAAGTGTTCGGCTTAACAAATCTAAGACTTTATTTTTCCTTATTTACTTCCTTTTTTAATGCATTTAATTGCTTAATGTATATCATGATCAAGTAGGGTATGCACCAGGAATCAAAGAATATTTTGACACATGCACAAGATAATTCATAATCCTGTGGAAAAAGAATCTCATAATTATTTCAATAAATATACTAGAAGACATTCTTAGTAAGGTGGGATTGGTAGGAAACTTTCCTAGCCTGATATCAGAAAATATTACCAAAAAAAGTGGAATAAATATACAATGTGGTATATTTATATGCATTTTTCTTAAGTTTAGAAATAATATTGTATACATATGATAGCACTGCTATGTTTCATGTAATACTTTTGGAACGGGCTAACATAAGACAAGAATAACAAGTAGTAGATATGAAAGAACAGAGAGAAAGAATCAAAATTACTGTTATTTCCAGATTAGCTTCTAGTGAACTGGAGAGTACACATTTGGATGTCTCGGGGTATGTATATACTTTTCTCTGTGGAGGCAGGTTGCATAGCTGACCTTTTGAGAGCTGACTGAGCAGGCCTGAGTCAGCTCAATGCAAGAAAAGACTGAGCCAGTTGCTGATTTTCAGAGGTCTCCCTTTCTAAAAACATGAGAGCGTCTATCAGAACTTCCTTTTAAATATAATGATATAATGGTTCCTAGCCCTTTGTCTTTATCAAGGTGTAGAGTATTGCAGGGAGTAAGGTCTTTTTCTATTGAAACACTGGTCATGGCCCATGCAGTCCAAATTCGCACTGCCTAAGCTAGGGAATAATGGGAATTCACAAGATTGTGAGTGTCCTACTACTTTTCTACAAGTAAGATTTCCCCCCAATTATATCTGTACCACGTGGTACTAATAGTCTATGTCTATAACTCCTAGGCATAATACAAAATCAAACTTGCAGACAAATTGTTATAACAAATGAAATAGTCTGTCCATTTGCTGATACAAAATCAACTTACAAAATCAAAATCACTAACAATGAAAAATAATGATTAACAAAATATTTCCAAAAATAACAAGAACTGTGAATATTTAGTCCAACTCAACAAAGAAGGCACAAGAAAAGAAAAGGTAAAACATACCCTTATGATACAACCGAGAAAGTCGGCTTCTCTTTACCCAAGAGAAATGAAAACCTAAGTCTATACAAAGACTTGTACAAACCGCTCACAGTAGCTTTGTTTATAATGACCCCAAAAGTGGAAGCAGCCCAAATGTTCATCAACAGGTGAATGGATAAATTATGTGTGGTATATTCATTGAGTGGTATACTACTCAACAATGAAAACAATAAATTATTGATACACTAAAACTGTAGATGACTCAAAATTATTCTGTGTGGAAAAAGCCAGACACCACAGAGTAAATAAACTATGATTCCATGTATGTATAACCCAAGAAGAGACAGATCGAATTTGTAGTATTAGAGAGCACATCAGTGGCTACCTAGAGCTTAGGTGGAGCCAATTCCTGGAGGTACAGCAGAGCACCAGAGATGTGCTTGATCCAAACTGTTTGACATCCATTCATTCTTAGGCAGGGGCCCTTCACCCACATCTCTGCTCTAAGGTCGAAAATGTCCTAATTCAGTGGGTCCCAATTGTTGGTTCATAAACGAGTGTGCTATGAACTGAGGAGAAAAAAAATAGATATGGGAAGCTTTTCAAATAATAAAATTTATTATTATTAGTCACACATGTAAGTGACTATCATTATTTTGAAATTTTCTCCTTGTAATTTGGTGTTAAAATATTCATTTATTTTATGTAATGATGACAGTCAGTGATGAAGTTGTAGTTGCTTTTCTTGGCAAAACAGACATTTGACAAATCTGGGTATTGAAGAAGAAGAGGAAGAAGAGGAAAGGAATGTAGGAGAATGCCATGTTCTATCTTGAGCTAGAAAAGACTATCTTTAAAAAGCACAGGCATAAAAATAACAATAATGAAATAAAATAACAAAATAAACAGAAACTTGATTAGGGAATTTGACTACAATCAAAAGAAGAGTTTTATATCCAACAAAATATATTATAGGAAGCTTTAATGTGGAATTTAAAACAGTGAGAACTGTTTAATATTTAAAAACATGTACTATTCAGCAAATAAAGGAACTGAAAATTTATAAAAATGAGTACAATATTTGAAAGGAAATTCATGTGAATGGTAATACACATTCTGATTCTCAAACCCACTTCTAAGTACATACATAAAAATTAAAACAATAAAATATTATTTTATAATCACCACATTTGCAGAAGTTAGAAGGCAGGTAAACATGTCGAGAGAAAAGGGGATCCACATACACAGCTAGCAGGCATCTAAAATGCTGCAGTGATGCTGGAGAGAAGCTGAAATTACCTAGTAAAATAAGCATGTCTTGATGCTATGACTCAGCTCATGAAAAACCACAGGACTTGTGAAGGATTTTCACAGCAGCATTGCTTGTGATAGCAGGAAATTGTGAACAGCCTAAGGAAATGGCCAAGTAAAAGGAGGTATACGTATATGTCAGGATGTTGGAATGCTATAATCCAATAGCAACAATGAGCTAGATTTACAATTGACAGCATGGAATAGTCTAATCTCAAAAACAGTGGTGAATGAAAATATCAAGAAACAGGATACTAATACTATCATTTATGCAACTTAAAAGCACATATAAAATATACTCTAGTTTCCAAGGAACCAATGCATTTAAATAACCACTTAGATGGAAGGTTGAAAGGGTGAAAAGGAGAGAGAACTATAAAAGGCACAATATAATAAAATAAAGATAAAATGAGATAAAACAATTCTTACATATTTATGATGAAAGTATGATGAACTGAAAAGCATGAGTAATCTTACATACTCTACATTTTAAAAATTAATCAAGTAAAACACAATGAATCAGTATCCAAGGGTTCATGTGGGAAGAGGAGAGAGTGAGCTAATGACCAAGAATCACTTCAAGCCATACTTCAGTCAATCAGCTGCTTTTATATGTGACTATACAGTGCTGTGTGTTTATATATTGCTGACATTAAGTGTGCCGTTAGATTTTTTAAACATTCTGACTGCTCTAAATTTTTCCTTAAATAGTAAACTCCTGCAAAGCAGATTGTTTGCTTCTTCTTCCTCCATGGTGCCTGACACATCACGTTGCAGATATTACATAGGCACCCAATAATATTTTGCTCCTTTGATTATTATAACTGAAAAGGTGTGATTCTATAGGATATGGCTCCTTAAAATATCTTTAAGTGATTTTAAAAAAGTATTCAAATTGCTGTAGCCTCTGTGATCCTTATCAAATATGTATTCTTACAAGCTTACATGCTGCTGCCAGCTTATTTTGCATGTTGCTTGTGAGAGGATATTTCCTGTGCTATGTGTTACTGCTGCTTTGTTACATAGTGACACACTTTAGGTCCTAATAGATTTTCTCGCAAGCATTTCAGGTATCATTTGGAACATGAGAAATAATTGCTTGTGGGTTATTTCTCTCATAAGACCGCTTTCCTCTCCTTGTCACATGCTGACTCCCACTTTTCTAACATGTTCTGGATGTTTTATTTCTATTCTTTCACATAGAGTATGTTCTAGAAGCACTTATTCTAGAAGTGGGGGCAATATAATTAAAGGAAAACTGTTTCTCTATTCGCAACACCTCTCACACCAAATGTATAGGGATTCTTCCCCCTGTAGTAACTATTTTCCAACTCTCTGGATGTCAATTTGATGTTCTGTAATTTAATTCAATTCTGACATTAACTACCAGTTTAAGAGCTCAGTCCTATAAGGCCCTTCAGACCCGAGTAGCAAATAATAAATTCCCAGGTATCCACACTTCTGTCCAACTTGACCATAAAGTTAAGAATTCCCACAACCTTTCCCCCATCAAAGTTCAAAGTTCAATTAATTGATTGAAATGACTCACAAAACTCAACATTTGCTAATGTTTACTAGTTTTTATAAAGGAAATGAGAAAGGATACAGATGAGCAGTCAGGTGAAGAGACACATGGTGTGAGGCCTGGAAGTCTCAAGTTCAGGAGTTTCTGTCCCTGTGGAGTTGCAGTGCCCACTGGAATGTGTGCATTGCAGCACGGGGATGTGTTCACAAACCTGGAAGCTCTTCGAATTTAGTAGCTTAGGAATTTTTAACAGAGGCTTCATCACATAATGTACATACACATATGCAAATACACATAATTCAATTATAAATATTCATATTTTGAGGATGCCTTATTAAGCATATTTACTACTCACTGCAGCCAAGAACTTCTCAGGGCCCAGTGTGTTGGCTCACGCCTATAATCCCAGCACTTTGGGAGGCCAAGGCCAATGGATCACCTGAGATCAGGAGTTTGAGACCAGTGTGGCCAACATAACGAAATCCTGTTTCTACTAAAAATACAAAAATTAGCCGGGCGTGGTGGCACATACCTCTAATCCTAGCTATTTGGGAGGTGAGGCAGGAGAATTACTTGAACCCAGGAGGCGAAGTTTGCAGTGAGCCGAGATTATGCCACTGCACTCTGGCCTGGGCGACAGAGCAAGATTCTGTCTCAAAAAAAAAAAAAAAAAAAAAAAAAAAAAAAGAAGTTTCTCAGGATGTCCTCTGCAGACTATCTGCTGCAGCTGGAATGTCCTGGGCATGCCACATCAAAGTCTTCTGAGCTATATCTTGGGAATGGGTCTTTATAACAAGCATCCTAGGTTCTTGTGCATGCTAGCATTGTAAAATCATCATGCCTAAGGAAGCTTAAGGAAGACTCTTCTGCTGTGCTGTGGAAAACTTGTTAATTCACACCTGAGATGGTACAAGCCAACTCTCAGGAAAGAAGCAACAGGAACAGGGAAAAACAGATAGGTACAAATAACATTTTGAAGGCGAACTGTATTGACTTATTGCTTAGATATGGAGCATTTCAGAAGAGAATAAATCTTAGAATCAATGAATATTTGATTATTTCAGTGAATTAATTCTCCTAATGAAGTATTTAGTTGCTTGACGGCCTCCATTCTTCCATGCCTCAAATTTTCAGCTCTATTGAGGGTAAGCAGTTTGCCTGAAGTCACACATTTATGTAATGATAGACTGTAAAATAGAAATGAGGCCTTTTGACAGTAGGGTCAATAGTCTTGCTATCTAACCATAAACTGCTATGTTTTAAGTCTGAGTGACTAAGAAAATTGGTCTGCTATTCAATACTTTGTTGATGGTCATCTGTATAAGGCAACGGGGTTCTGTGCTGAGTGCTGGAATTCCAGTGGTGATCACGTAAACATGCTACCTCCTCCCTGTGGTGCTCACTCTCTGGTTGATAAGATAGTAACACTGATAATAGAAAAAGTGTTTTTGTAAAGGGAAGTTGGTGCAATGATGAGAATATGATGTTATTGGAATGAATATTGGACAGGCTGAATTTGTGTATTTCAGGTGTATCTAAATTGCCTAGTTCTCTCTGCAAACCATATGTGCATGTTCATTTATGTGTATGTATAGGTTAAGGAAGCCTCTCTTGTGTCTTTTCAGATAAGGGAGAGAGAGAAGAGTCAATAGTGAAGAGAAAGTTTATCACATTCCTGAGAAATATCCTTTCTGAGCTTGCAGCAAAGTGATTTCTGGCCTGTGGAGAAGAAGGTAAGGTTGTTTCACCAGATGGAAGAAAGTTATAGGCTTTAGACATGATTTTTAATACCAGTGAAGTATTTCTCTCTTCTATAAAATGTGCTTGTCTGTACGATGGGTTATTTTTTTAGATTCTTCCATCTTTTGGAAAGACGCAAAGTATAAAGGCAGTATGAGCAATTCACAGCATAAACTCTGTAAATTGGTCATTAGCTAGGTTTCCTCATAGAGATGGGCACCTTGTGTCAAAAACGGGCAAAATAAATTAACTGGGACATGCCTTGGATGATTTTCAGCATGAAAACTGGTATCCATGGGCTTGAAAAGAATTAACTCTCTAAATATTTGCAGTCATAAAATAGTTTAGATGAAAAGCCTCTATGATGATTCAAAGGTAGAACATTGAGAAATAATAAAATTAGTATCATTTTAGAGAATTCAGAAAAACATACCAGTGGTTACAAGTGGACACAACTCTGACTGTGACTGCTTGAATATACTTCTAAGAGAGTTTTCTATCTTTTAAAGAAAACTTTCATGTTTGGGGAGAGATTTGGCTTTTTGGTTTTTTGGTTTTTTTTTTTTTTTTTACGTGATATGCTCTATTTTTTCCTCTTTTCTTAAATAAGGAAGAATAAACATAAAGAAAAAGTTTGAAAACTATAATATTCACTAATTTATTAATAGCAAAAAAAGTCTTAATTCCTTTTTTACCAATCTGAGTTTTGAATAATTAAAATGTAAAAAAGCTATGAAATTAAGTTATATATAATTGTAGAGGGAAAAATATTTATGTTTTGATATGCTTTGGCTGTGTCCCCACCCAAATCTCGTCTTAAATTCCCATGTGTGTGAGAGGGACCTGGTGGGAGGTAATTGAATCATGGGGGCAGGTCTTTCCTGTGCTGTTCTCATGATAGTGAGTAAGTCTCATGAGATCTGATGGTTATTATAAGGAGGAGTTTTCCTACGCAAGCTCTCTCTTTGCCTGCTGCCATCCACGTAGATGTGACTTGCCCCTCCTTGCCTTCCACCATGATTGTGAGGCCTCCCCAGGCAGGTGGAACTCTAAGTTCCATAAACGTCTTTCTTTTGTAAATTGCCCAGCCTAAGCTATGTCTTTTTCAGCAGCATGAAAACAGACTAATGCATATTTCTTCTGAGATTGTAACTTGAATTTAAAACTAAATTGAAAGAAGCAAGAGGAGTAGGGGGAGAGGAATATCTTGATAGATTTTTCTAAATTTTTAAAAGATTTTCTTTTTATTAATTTAGAGAACTCAGAGAGCCATACTTTACTTAGAATTGTTCTACTGTGATTCTTATTTCGTCTATACAGAAACAGACTATATCTGCTATTGTTAATTTGATCTAGAAGGTTTTCTTATATTTGGGCATGATATTGATATAGCTAATAATTCCCGTAAGAGAAATAAAACACTCAAAGGAGATGAAAGTAACTCAAATCCTTGTGCAGTCACTAGATATTGTAAAAACCACTTTTTGTATTTCCTAATTATTAATATTTATTAGAATAATTTTCTGTTTACTGATTGCTATTAATCCTGACAGCTTCATTAATTACAGCCTCCCTTAGGCATGACATAATAACTTCAGTTAGCAAATTGCAGTATTCCTACAGAATTTTCTAGATTTGCTTCATAAACTTGATATTCAACATATTCTTGAAGTAAAAGATTTTTCCTGAGAAAAGAACTTTTAGCATTTTAAGAGAACCATGATCAAATTGTTCATGGTCATAGGAAGTCCCTGAAGTCTTATTAATAACTAGGTAAATGGAACCTCAATGCTACAGCTTAAAGATCAGAAGTTTTGAGCAAACACTTAGTAACCACTTCATTATCTGTTAGTTCATTTTACTCTGTACCCTAGAGCCCTAATCACTAGTGAGTATAGAATACTCCATGTATTAACCAATGTTTAACAATATTTCTCAGAATGAATTTGCATGTTTAGTGAAAAATGCCCATGAGTGCAGCTTAAACATACGTACGGTTCTCTTATGAAGTCACTTAGCAAAGGCTTGTTATGCTCTGATTAGCTTATTAGTTTATTCTGGATCTGATAGAGAGTTTTAGGGCATTGTCTGTCAACTTGCTAGGAATTAGGACAGCAAATGCTTTCAAATTGTCTTTGCTTATTTAACCATGTCTCTGCAGATGTTCACTATTTTAATATATCTCTTCTTTGGAAAGCATACTCTATGTACAGTATAATCATTCAGAAATGTACAATTTTGAATTAAGGTAGAAGTTTCTAAGTAGATTAAAATGCTTAGGAGACATACTTTAAATAAGTGCCGGTTTGCATATCAATATATGATTAATTCTGAGTGTTAAAATATCATTTCAGACTAGTTTGTTCATGCCGTGATAATAAAAATATTTCACAGTACATAGTGTATGAAGGCAGTCCATGATAGTTTAGCTTGTACTTAGGTTATTTACACATGATCATAAATTACTTTTTTGTATAAGAATGGAAATATGACAGATTTGTTGCTTTAAGGATTGAATAATGTAAAATAATTATGGAGAAACATTAGTGGTGTTTTCAAGAAGTGCAATGTAAAACTTGACTCTTGTTATTTTCTTTACCCAACTGCAGTCTACTCCTACTTTAATATGAATGAGTTAGTGAGATGGCAAAATAGTGCAGTAAAATATATTAGATTTTCAAGACAGATATAGGGTTGTAGCACTGGACAGCTCCAAGGGGTTCTGTTTATATAATAGGCTCTGTGAGTGGCATTCCTGGAGTTGTGCAATATACAACATGGGTGATTGTATGTAGTGGCCCTGAGGTAGACCAACGTGAGAGACCTGATTAAATAGCATTAGGCTAAGTTATTAGCATTCTCTGAGACTTCTCCTTGTCTATAAAATGAAGTTAATTTTACCTATTGTATATGGTTCTTTTGTACGTTAAATGAGGTTTTACAAGGATTTATTTCCATAACAATACTTAGAATAGTATCAAATGCATAGTGATGCTTAATAACTGTTAGCCTTGAAAGTAGGCAGAGGAGATGAACTCTATTAAGAGATTAAAAAGAGAGGAAAAGCCGGGTGTGGTGGCTCACGCCTGGAATCCCAGCACTTTGGGAGGCCGAGGCAGGTGAATCACGAGGTCAGGAGATCGAGACTAGCCTGGCCAACATGGTAAAACGCTGTCTCTATTAAAAATACAAAAAAATAGCTGAGTATAGTGGCAGGAGCCTGTAATCCCAGCTACTGGGGAAGCTGAGGCTGGAGAATTGCTTTAACCTGGGAGGCGGAGGTTGCAGTG